ACTGTCCACTTCTATAGCTCCTTTTCCTTTTAGGTCCTTGGGATGCTTTATTTGGATTTTGTTTCACTAAGTGATCTGCTTTGGTTAAAGTTGCATCAGCAAACATGCAGTCAAAGGCCTGACAATTGCTTGCCATCTTGTTGATCTTGGAGCCTTTACCAGGGGAATTTGTCTGTGAGAGTATGAGAGATCAAAGCACCCCCAGAAAGCCCTGCTGACCCAGAAGCTAAGTGCAGATGCCTGGAGAACCCTCACAAGACATCCTGAGCCTGGCCAGGAACTTTTCCAGATGAGCCCTGATCTGTAGAATCATGGAATGATTATCATTTTAAGTCAGTTTTGGAGTGGTTTGTTATGTGGCAATGGATAACTGATATACTGAGAATATTGATGAAGCAAGATTAACCAAATGTAATAATGGGTAATATCAGGTTCATTTTATTACTCTGTATTCTTAAAAATTTTTTTTAAGATTTATTTATTTTTAAGAGATAGAGTGTGAGCGGGGAAGGGGAAGAGAGAGAGAGGTAGGCACAGAATCTGAAGTAGGCTCCAAGCTCCGAGCTGCCAGCACAGAGCCTGATGCGGGGCTGGAACCCACAGACTGTGAAATCATGACCTGAGCTGAAGTCGGCCGCTTAACCAACTGAGCCACCCAGGTGCCCCTCTTTTGTCTATTTTTAAATTGGGGTATTTGTCTTTTTATTGTTGAACTTTAAGAGTGTTTTACGTATTCTGAATATGTGTCCTATTAGATACATGATTTACAAATATTTTCTCTCATTTTGTGGGTTATCTTTTCACTTTCTTGATGATGTCCTTTGAAGCATGAAAGTTTTACATTTTGATGTTCAGTTTATCTATTTTTTCTTTTGTTGCCTGTGCTTTTGATGTCCTATCTAAGAATGCATTGCCACATCCAAGGTAATAAAGATGTACACCTATGTTTTCTTCTTAGAGTTTATAGTTTTAGTTTTTACAATTTGGTCTTGATCCATTTTGAGTTAATTTTTGTATGTGATATGAAGTAGGGGTCCCACTTCATTCTTTTGCACCTGGATACCTGCTTAAACCAGCATCAATTCTATTTTTCTTAATTTTTAAAAATTGTTTTATTACTTATTTTTGAAAGTGAGAGAGACAGAACACAAGCAGGGGAGGGGCAGACACAGAATCTGAAACAGGTTCCAGGCTCTGAGCTGTCAACACAGAGCCCGACACAGAGCTTGAACCCACCAGCTATGAGATCATGACCTGAGCCAAAGTTGGATGCCCAACCAACTGGGCCACCCAGGCACCCCAATTACTCTGTATTATTTACATTAATTTCAAACTTCCTGTAATGAAAAGTTACAAAGAAACTACTTAATGTCAGTATTACTTGAAACAATTTTTAGTGAATTTGTTTGAATTTCCTTTACACTGTTTTCCAGAGCGGCTGCACCAGAATGCAAACTGGTGCAGCCGCTCTGGAAAACAGTGTGGAGGGTCCTCAAAAAATTAAAAATAGACCTACCCTATGACCCAGCAATAGCACTGCTAGGAATTTACCCAAGGGATACAGGAGTGCTGATGCATAGGGGCACATGTACCCCAATGTTTACAGCAGCACTTTCAGCAATAGCCCAATTATGGAAAGAGCCTAAATGTCCATCACCTGATGAATGGATAAAGAAATTGTGGTTTATATACACAGTGGAATACTACGTGGCAATGAGAAAGAATGAAATGCCTTTTGTAGCAATGTGGATGGAACTGGAGAGTGTTATGCTAAGTGAAATAAGTCAGAGAAAGACAGATACCACATGTTTTCACTCATGTGGATCCTGAGAAACTTAACAGAAGACAAGGGGGGAGTGGAAGGGGGAAAAAAAGTTACAGAGAGGGAAGTTGGCAAACCATAAGAGACTCTTAAATACTGAGAAAAAACTGAGGGTTGTTGGGGGGTCGGGGAGAGGGGAAAGTGGGTGATGGGCATTGAGGAGGGTACCTGTTGGGATGAGCACTGGGTGCTATATGGAAACCAATGTGACAATAAATTATATAAAAAATAAATTTCCTTTAAATGTTTAGTAATGCTCTTTTTCCTTTTTTATATTTAATTTTCAAAAATTATTTAAAATATTTGTATTGTTTCAAAATTAAAACTATAAGTGTCCAGAAAGTTCTAGCTTTCAGCTCTGTCCCCATTCTTTCTCTCTCTCCCTTAGGTATTCATTTATATTAGTTGTTACGTGATTATACTGGGAGTCATTTTAGAGATTTGTTAGTGAATTAGGAGTTAAATTGGTGACAGATACATAGACAAGTAGACAAATGAGAGAATAAGGCAATTATTAATCTCAACAAGTTACATTTGTTTCAGCAAAGGAGAATTAATCACATTATAAGATTTGCTATATATGAATGGATGTATGTTGTCATGTCATTGCAAAGAGTATCCATCGATCTAACTAAAATTACAATACAACTGTATTGGAAATTTGGGGGATGGAAAGTTGTTTGAATATGGGTGTGACGAAAAAGCTAATTCTGGGCCACCTGGGTGGCTCAGTCGGTTGAGCATCCGACTTCAGCTTAGGTCACGATCTCATGGTTTGTGGGTTCGAGCTCTGCGTCCGGCTCTGTGCTGACAGCTCGGAGCCTGGAGCCTGCTTGAGATTCTGTCTCCCTCTCTCTTGGCCCCTCCCCTGCTCACACTCTGTCTCTCTCTGTCTCTCAAAAATAAATAAACGTGTAAAAAAATGTTTTTTAGAAAGTCATCATCTCCGCGCAGAAGGGAGGCAAGACATGTTGGTATTTGCCTAACAAGCCTTATGGTTATGTTATGAGTATCTCTTCGAATCCTTACTAGTTGTATGAGGCAGGCTCTTTCTTATACCTGTAGCTCCATGAGAAAATTAATGCTTTGGGAGTTTGTTAGCCATCTACTGCTGTGTAATGAATTATAACAAAATTTGGCATCTGGAAACAGCAAACATTATTACCTCATAGTTTCCGTGGGCCCTTGGGCTTCTCTGGGTGGTTCTCACTCAGTCTCTCACAGGGCTGCAATTAAGATGTCAGCCAGTGCTGCAGTCATCTTGGTGTTTGTGGAGATCTGTTTCAGGGCTTACTCACATGGCATGCCCAAAGCCTCCAAGCTCACTCCGGGGGTCCTCTTTCCAGGGCGGCCACGGGACACAGCAGTTGACTTCCCTGACAGCAAGTGATCCCAGAACACCCAAGATGGAGGCCACTGCCTTTTTAAAGTCCAGTCTTGGTAATGACAGATGCTACCTCTGTCATATTCTGTTAGAGGCACATCTGTAAGTCCAGCCCACACTTAAGGGGAGGGCATGAAATCAGGAACAAGACATGAAAGCTAAGGGTGTGGATAAGATGAGTTATCGTCAAGGTTGCCTGCCACAGGAGAAGTGGCTTCTCCCAGTAAGTGGTAAGCGTAAGTACATAAGTCTAAGTGGTAGCCCTGTGATGCAAAACCACCCAATTCGATTCCAGGGCTCGTGTTCTTAACCACTATGTAACCTTTGTATGTTGCCTGCATGGAATTTACCCTGAACGGGAAAACAGTACCTCCTTTGACACCACTGCCATCTTGGACGTGTGGGAGTGGCCAGGAGGGATAACTCACGTAAGAGCTGACTTTCATACGTGTGTCGCACACTCTGGTGTGTTAGGTTGGGGTAAACACGAATAAGCTGTACGTTACGCTCAGTGTGTACGATGCAAACTAGACTCCCCCACTTACCTCTGCTTCGGAAAGGGTGCATGACTGCAAGAGAGAATTATATGGGTACAAGGATAACCTTGAATTCACTCTAATTTATAAAAAGTCACACCCTCTCAAGCTTTAGAACTTTATTGGTAATGAATTACCTGAGAACCCCCTCACACTTGATCATGACAAAATGCAGCTTCATATTTCTGGGATGGGGCATTAGTCACAGGGGCACGCTGGCTAAGGTGAGGAGTTGGTACAATATCTTTAAAGCTGTTGAGAGCCACTGAAGTGTGTTAAGCGTGGAAGGATGACATAATTGGATATGTACCTGCTGCTCTGAGCTATGCCATCGTGTCTAAAACATCAGACGACATTCCACATTCTCATGCATGAGACGGCAGATGCTTCCTTTACACACCACCGAATCCATTCATGTTGATGTAATGAGATTTATAAATTTCTCCTATCTGCATATTGGTCCGAGTACCCCATCTCCAGGCCCCCGTGCCTGCCTCTCTCTGTGTGCATAAACACCTTTGTGGCTACGGCCACAGCTTCTCTCTGTGTGCTTTTGATGGCACAGACTGATTGCCTCATTCAGGGTCTGTGGTCACATGGCAACCGTGCTGTTGACACATCTTAGGAACTTAGTGAGTGCTTGTTAAGTCAAAATGGACTAAACCTGACTGGACACCTGCTCTGTGTTTTAGGTACTGTGCCGAGCTCTCGTTGTGTAGAGCTCTCGTGTAGAAGTAAGATAGTGTTATTTTGTTAATAAAAAAAGACACGACTGTATGTATTCATTCAGTTTTTCATCCACTAATCAAACATTTTTGAAGTCCTGCTGTGCATGTGGCCTTGTGCCAGGTGCTAGAACACAGCCTGAGACAGCACTGCTCTTCCAGCTTCTGTGACCACTGGGGAAGACAGAACGGTGTATGGTGATCCTAGCTCAGCCCACTGTATGGGCACAGAGGAGGGGCACAGACGTCAGCAGAGAAAAGGGCCACAGAGGAGTGAAGGGGAGACTTTCTGGAGGAAGTAACCTCTGAGCCGTTTGGAAGAATAAGTGAATAAATGCTCGGGTGAATGGAGGCTCAACTCCATCAGTATTGGGACACTGGTTTGTTAGGACTTGATGGGAGGGGGGAATCGGGGCTATAGAAGCAGGAGGAACCAACCCTGAAAGTAGATATAGGTAGGAGGTACCGATCCCTCCAGAGTGGTATGTAGAGCCAAGCAAAGCTTTATCTCTGCTGTCTTTGTGTCTTTCCAGCCCTCTACGAGCAATCCTGCGAGGTATACAGGCACCAAGGGAACACGGCTGGTTTCTTCTACATCGATTCCGATGGCAGCGGGCCGCTGGGACCCCTCCAAGTGTACTGCAACATCACAGGTAAGGGGCAGAATCCCCACTCAGGCTTAACCGAGCTACCTGATGGTACACAGCACAGGGAAGTCCACTGGAAGGGGACCTGTGTAAATAAAAAATTAAAGAGCCAACCTCAGGTGTGGGGGGCATGGTGTTTAAGTAAATAATAGCAATTAGCAGCTGGATTATCTTTCATAGGAGAGGAAGACTTAATGGTCTTAATCACATTCGGCCAAACCTAGAATTAACCAGGAAGCATTTTCTGTAGACCCTGCCAAGGACATTTTCTCTTTTAAAACTCAAGAGCAGAAAGACAAGGAAAAAAACAACTAAACAAACCAAAAGCAAACCTGAAAATCAATAGAGAACCCTGACTCAGGAAGTGGGGAAGTGTGATTCATGTCTGGCCCCGGGGATGGTGTGAATCCCGTATGCTCTCTGAGGCTCAGTTGTTCATCAGTGAAATGGGCAAAGTAGTTCCTTCCTCCCAGAGTTGAAGGTTAGACACAATCATGAGTATTGGAGGAATCAGCAAGGCTAGTTACCCAGTAGGTGCCCAACAAGAAAAGTGAATTACTTGCATTTTTCCAGCCACTCCTTCCTAAAGTGCAGAAAGACATAGTAAGAATCAATTATTGCACGGATTTAGAAACAATCTATGATCACTAACTTATTCTGCAAAATAATTCTACAAAGCCCAAACCTGATGTAATAGTTTCTTAAAAATTCAGCAGTGCAAGTACCCTCACCATCGTGAGGGTCACTCATTGGCGCATACGCGTTGTGTGTGTTTGTTCCGAGCACTGGCCTTTGGAAATGACAACAGAATCATGTAATAAAGCAGAAAAGCAGGGGCTATTAAAGCTCATTGCTTCTTCAGGCCTCAGGCGTCCCTGCAACAAGGCAAGCACATTCCCTGAGCTCCTTCTGTAGCCACAGACTGGCCTTGGCACGGAGGATATGCGGAGAAATTAGATACAGCCACTCTCATTTATGAGGCAGGAATATCGGGAGAAATGTCGGGCATATCACAGGTAGAAATGCAAGCAAACCATTGCAAAAATGGTGATTATGGGCACTTTGCAATTTGTTCATCTGGATGCAAACGACCAAAGTTTTTCTGCAGAAGATGCTATTTACACGGATTTAGAAGCATTTCCTTGCATCTCCTTAACACTTAGTGCGTCTCTCCAACCTGCACGTATGCTGCTTCCCAACTAGCCCATAATATAGTTAGAAACCGTGGGACTGTTTTCTTTTCATTGTTATGGTAACCTATAGGGCTAACCTGGAGCTAGTTTTCTCCCTGGATCTTGGTTATTTTCCAAATGTAATTAACAAATGGATCTCCAGCAGTTCCTGCTAAGAATACAGACTTTCTAGCTGAGGACATTCGAAATTAGTAAACGCCCTTTTACTGAGCCCCGTAAGTGATTCCGATGCAAGTTGTCCCTGGTCTACGCTTTACCAAAAAATGGAGGAAGTGATTTAGCTGAAGAGTGAGGACGAGGAGAGTGGTTCCTGCTGCTGAGAGATCAGGTGTGGTCACTCAGCTTCGACCAACTTCGGGAGCTGAACTGAGAGCTTACCAATACCATCTCTTTCCCTCCTCACCATAAAAATCCGAGGTAGATATTTTTATCTCTGTCTTAATAGAAGGAAAGAGAAGATGAGAACTTCGTGACTTTCTCGAGGTCATAAATACTGGAGCTAATAGTCAAGACTCAGGAAGCAAACAAAACCTTCTGGTGCAGTAATAATTTATATCACTAAAACATTAATTGGATACTTGTATTGCTTATGTTTTGCTTTACACAGTGATGCAATTTTTGTTATAAAGTAAATCAATATTAATTATAGAAAATTTAAGGAGAAAAGCAACGTATCAAGAAAATGTTGAAGTGACCCCTCAGCCACAACCCAGAGACTGCTGTTGGTACTCTGTTGTTAGGATTTCCTTGGGATTTTTTTTTTTTTTCTGTGAATGTGTATGTGTATTTCTTCTGTGAATGTACCTGTTTTTTAAATATATATTTTAAAATCAAGCATCAACTTTCCTTTTTGTCATTAAATATTTTGAATTTATTTTTTGTTTTTTAACATTTATTCATTTTTGAGAGTGAGAGAGACAGAGCATGATCAGGGGAGGGGCAAAGGGAGGGAGACACGGAATCCGAAGCAGGCTCCAGGCTCTGAGCTGTCAGCACAGGACCCAACAAGGGGCTTGAACCCACGAAGTGTGAGATCATGACCTGAGCTGAAGTCGGACGCTTAAGTGACTGAGCCACCCAGGCGCCCCTGAAAAATTTTTTTTTACATTTATTTATTTTTGAGAGAGAGACAGAGCACGAATGGGGGAGGGGCAGAGGGCAAGGGAGACAAAGATTCCTATGCAGGCTCTAGGCTCTTAGCTGCCAGCACAGAGTCTGACTCGGGGCTTGAACGCACAAACCATGAGATCATGCATGACCTGAGCCGAAGTCAGATGCTTAACCGACTGAGCCACCCAGGCGCCCCATGCCATTAAAATATTTTGAAAATAAAATATATAAATTAAGTGTAGCTTTAAATTTTTAAACTCTTCAAACTAATGCAAGTTCAGGGACACAAAGGGTGTCATTGATTCATAGGTCTCATTTACATGGAGCTCCCTGCCTCTCATTGGAAACATTTCTCTCAGGGCTTCTGTAGGATGTTTTGTCCAAGAATGGCTAAAGATGAATTTTCACTTGTATTTAAAGGTTGCTATTTTGCTGATGTGATACTGAAGGAATCAGGACCTCAGAGTTGTGTTCGGGAATGGATAGGCTTGATTATCCCTGATCAGGCAATTCTTTTACATACGGTTTTTGGTTATGTGCAGTTGCAAAACATAGAGGTTTTGCTTTTGTTTTTGTTTTTGTTTTCTAAAAGAACTATAGAAATAAAAGCAAACCTCGGCACAAGCTGAATTCTGTAATTGTCATATTTGACATTTCTAAAAACATAAATATAATGATCACATACATTTTTTTTTTATTTATACATGTTAAATGTTCTTAACTATGAGTGATTTGTAACACCTGTAAAAATGTGACAAAGGGGTCCAGGGAAAGGAGGGTCCAGGAGAAGGGAGAGAGGAAATGGACAGCGAGAACCAAGAGAACTGAACAGGGGTGGGGTAGGGTGGAGGGGAGACTCATTCTGCTTAGGATCCGGTTTCTGAAAACAAAAAGTTGCTGTTCTCTGCACTTTTCAGCAGCATTACTGGGGTAACCCAGAGAGTGTAAATGACACCGGAAGGCAGGGAACCTTGTGCTAGTCAGCTGAGTGTCCCTGGCCTACTTGTCCATAAATAAGGTCTGGGATCCTAAAATAAGGATCTGGGGCCAGGTGGTCTCACAGGCCTTCCTCATTTAGAATTCCATGAGAGATCATTTGAGGTTCAACCGAAAAGGGGACGTTTCTCCTAAGAAGTCTATGGATACTTGCAAACAAATGTCATGAAAGTGAAGAGGGACAGATTTTAGTCTTGGAAAACAGGAAATTCGAATCCAAAATACATCTCTCTTTACAATGTACCCTGGGCAGGGGAGGGCATGAGCTCCCTTTCCTAATGGCAAGGTGGTGCCTCACCACTCCCGGGAGATTAAGTCTGTGCATGTCACCTAGGACAGGGTGATCTTGGGGAGATGACCTCCCAGATGCTCACAGAGTAACTGCCCCATTCACTGGATGGCAGCATAATCTCTGCACAGGGACAGTATGCCAATGTATGGGAGTAACCTAAGGGGGCGATTAGATTTATGTATAAAGTGGACTGTATCTGAACCTCTACACATTTTGATCCTGTGCCTGCCATACCTCATACTGTGTTCCAAGCCAGTTCACCATGGAGCTAGTGGGTAGGAGAGAAGGAAGGGCCACTGTTTGGATGGAGTGTTGAGTCAAATCATGGATGAGGAAGATAAAGAGGAAGCTTCTGCAGGAATGCACATGTGGGCTACTTCTAACATCTCTATATATGATTTACCATTCAGTTCAGCTTAGTGTATATTTGCACATTTCAGGCACTGTGCAGATTGCCAAGGATACAAAATAGTGTCTGCATCAGCTTCTCTTGGCTGCTATAACATTGAGTGGCTTAAAAATACCAAGAAGTGTATGCATCACAGTTCTGGAGGGTAGAAGTCCAAAATCAAGGTGCTATAGGGCCACACCTCTTCTGAAACCTGTAGGGGAGAATCCTCCCTTGGTTCTTCTGGCTTCTGCCGGCTCACCCACCTTTGAGCATTCCTAGGCCATAGCAGCAGCCTTCAGTGACTGCCTCCCAGCGATTGTCACCCTGCTTCTGTGTGACATAGTCACAGGTAACTTTCTCCTCTCATGTATCCTCTTATAAATAGGACACCAGTCATATTGGATTAGGACCCCTCCTAATGGAGTATGACCTCATCTTAAGTTGATTCCATTTGCAAAGAACCTATTTCCAACTGAGGTCATGCTCGCAGGTGCCGAGGGTTAGAATTTCAGGAGGACAGAATTCTACCCCTAATGGTATCATTTCAGTCTTCTTCACAGGTTAGTCATGGAGCAGACATAGTGGAAATTATAATATAAGGATAATGACAGGAAGTGTATCGTGTTCTTCCAGCCTCTTGTGGAGTGGAAGGGTTTTTGGGCAGGCAGGCAATGCATGTTTCTGATACCTGGAGGGGGAGCACTAACGGACCGGAAGCAGAGACGAAAGAGGGCATTTCCAGGAAGAGCAAATGAATGTCAGGAACAAAGTTCAAGGGTCTCGAGCCTGCATATTTGTGGGGGCCACAAAACTCACCAAGATGAGTCACAAGTTTAGAACACTGAAAAACTAATCAAATTGCATGAATAGGAAAGGATCAGTTTTACTTGAGCAGGGATAAGCAAAAGCTGTTGCAGGTCCGTAATCTGAACGAAAGTTTCCCAGCGAGGAAATCTACTGCGTCAATTCTGGGGAAAAGAAGGAATGTTTTATTATAGACAGTTACTGAGCATGTCAGACTAGT